CTAGCTGCTGCAGGGGAGCAGAACTGCTGCTGCGAGCTCGCCAGGTGCACGTAGACCCCAATATAGAAACACGAATTAATTGGCAAAAAAATTTGAAAAATTAATTTGAAAGTTCATTTCGTACCTACGAAAAAACCCAAATAAGAGTTGATCTGCTGCTGCTGCTGCTGCTGCTGCTTTTGGTGCTACTGCTGCTTCGCTTGCACGTTGCATGCACTGTACCTACACGAACATATGGATTTTGGAAATAAATGCATCTAAAAAATAAACGCGAAATAAATCTAAATGCATTTTAAAAATAAATGCATTTCTAAAATTGTTTTTTCTAAAAAGAACAAAAAAAGAAGTGGCGTACGGTGTCTGTACACTGTACAATACCAACAGCGCCAGGCAGAGCAGCACGAGGCCCCCCTGCTGAGGCCCCCCGCAGCTGCTGCTGCCGTTGCTGCTGCTGCTGCAGAAGCAGCTAGAAAATCAACTGGGCGTTCCCGCTGGCGCGAATGCATGCAGCGCCAGCTAAAAAGCCCCAAGTGCATGCAGCAGGTTCTAAACTGGTGACTAAAAGAGAATTAAAGGAATAAATTCGAAGTCAAGCCCTGCTGCTGACGTATGCTGCTGCTTCCCGCTGCAGCAGCTCTATCACAGCCCGCGCAAAACCCCCAGGGTCCTCCAGGCTGTATCCGCCCTGCAGCGAAGCCACAGAGAAGAGCTCCAGGGCCAGGCTCTTGGCCCGCGCACTTGTGGGGTCTGCCTTCACCTGCAGCAGCAGCAGCAGCAACAGCAGCGCAGCAGCAGCAGCGGAGGCGCATGAATGGCGGAAACACAACAACCCCACCCCTGCTGCAGCCGCCCGCGCTGCAGGCGGGAATAAGTGGAGCGATATCAGCAAATAAAAACAAATGATAAAAACATTTCATTTTATAATTTGAAATAAATATATGGACAAGTGCTGCTTAAACATGCAGCAGCACCAGCAGCAGCAGCAGCGCGGGCAAGCGTGCTGCTGCTGAAGGCGATATTCATGCAGCAGCAGCAGCACAGGAAGCAAATTCAACAAGCAAATACAAACACGAATATAAAGATACATATATAAAAACAATAAATATATAAATTTAATTCCATCAACCTGAAACAAAGAGAAACTTGTTCACAGAAGTGCAGCAAAACTCCCCAACAGGCGGGCAATGACTGCGGCCACGAGCAGCAGCGAAACAAAAGAAATACAAAAAATAAAACAAATAATAAGCACAAGCAATACAAATAAAAATATCATAAATGCAATCAGTCTAAACTCAAATAAAGAAATATCCAAACGGCCTCTCAGACTCTTCCTATTAAACGCACAGCGCCCGCAGCTGCTGCTGGGGCTCACGCCTTCTCGGCTGCATCATCTAGCCGCAGGAACCAGCAGCAGCAGCAGCAAGAGCAGCAGCAGCACCACAGGGAAGCATAAAGAGAAGAGCTGCTCAGCTTTTAGAAAGAAACACTCAAAGAGCCCCAAGAGGCCCTCGTCATCTACTATCCACCATCATCGCTCTCGGGCAGCAGCAGCAGCAGCAAGAGCAGCAGCAGCACCAACCCTCCGCAGCAGCCGCAGCAAAGCGCTGCTGCAGCAGCAGCAGCAGGGGCGCACCATGGAGTCGAGCTGGCGAATGATGGTGTGGTCGGGGTTGATCTCGAGGACTGGTTGGTTGAGAGAAGTTCCAAAAAGCTGCTGCTCTGTGGCTCCCTGAGCAGCAGCTTGCTGCTGCATGTAGCGCTGCATAGTGGGCGACAGCCCCAGCTGCCCCTGCACCAGAACTGCGGGGTTTTGCACAAGCCGCGAAGACAGGCAAACGCTGTGCACGCGGGGCCCCAGCGTCTGCTGCAGCCACTCCACCAGCCTGCAGCAGCAGCAGCAGCAGCAGCAGCAAGTCTTGGAAGTAAAAAAAACGGAAAAATCGCACCAAAAAGACCCGCTGCAGCTGCTGCTGCTGAGCCGCACGCAGCAGCAGCAGCGCATCAGCAGCAAACCAGGTAAACAGAAGCTGAAAAGCCCGTTTTTACACACTGCAGAAGCTCAAACCAAGAACTTTAGTTACTTTTTAGTTTTATTTGTATCAATTTTGGCCTTTTAATTGCCTTTCTCAGAAATCTGGCGAAGATCGCAGCGGCGGCCTCGGCTCCCGCGTGGGTTCGAGTGTACGCGAGACAACGAGGAGCCTCAACTGACACGCGCCATTCATCCTCGGCAACAAAATTAAAACAAATTAAATTAAAACAATTAAACTAAAGTAATTAAATAAAATTAAATAAAGCAAAATAAACAAACACAAACAAGAAAGACAAGAAGGCGGCAGCAGCAGCGGCAGCAGAAAGAGCAGAATGCGATCTGCTGCAGCTGCAGCGCAGCAGATAAACAAAGCCCATGAAGAAGCAAACGCAGCAAAAGAAAAGAATGAAAGAAACAATAAAATAAAAACAAAACGAATAAACAGACCCGGGCAAAAACTACACCGATTACAATTCAAAAGCCGCATGCATTCAGATGTCATAAAAAAAGAAAACACTGAAACGAAAACCGAAAGCAGCTGCAGCAACCGCAAAACAAGAGCAACAAACAAAGCAAAGCAAAACAAACAAACCGAAACAACTTCAATCAAATGCAACTAAAACTTAATTCAAATAAACAAAAAAAAAACACTCCAACTTGCATGCAACAAATAACAAAAGACCCACCCCCCCAACTCAATGCGTTTTGTGGCGAAGTCCGACGGCTGCAGCTTTTGGGCCAAATCGGACTCAGTCGAATTTTCGGAATTTTGCAAGTGGGGCCCCCCGGGGCCCCCCCGGGGCCCGGGGGGGCCCCCCCAAGGCCCCGGGGCCCCCGGGGGCCCCCGGGGGCCC